AGTGGGTAATCTACAGGAGCAGATCAGCAGGTCTTTTCTCCTGCAGAGGCACTGCTGGGTTCAAACCCCTGACCTTTAAGTTAACAGCTGAGCACTTTAACCATTTAACAAGGTTTCTTAATTTTTTAGAATACTGTAATTGTTGAAAGGTCTACTTTCCTCCCATTAAGGACTTTACTCACTCCACAGATACACAATAAACATTTACTACATGCTGTGCATTGTGCCAGATTCTGGGAATCATCAAGGTAGACAAAGTCCCTGCCATTATACAACTTATGATTTTATGGAGATACAGAGAAGACAAGTTTAGTGTGATTAAGTCCTACAACCAGAGACACATATGCCATGAAAGCATACAGGAGGTGATTAAGTAGCTGTCTAAGGCCATAAAACTAGTAAGTGGTAGACCGGAATTTGGCTGCCTTCAATGTGTATTTTCTTTCCATCACAAATATAATCTTTCCAGACACAAGAAACTTTATCTAAGTTAGTTTGAAAATTACTTTATTTACAAAGAATAAATCACTTAAAGAAATTTCATCATAGTTATATTACTATTTTCATTAAAAAAAATCTTAGAAACAGAGTTTTTAACTGACTAAAACTTAGAAATTTAAAAATAATTTTTAAGCACATGGTATTTGTGTCAAGCCTTGTGCTAAGCATCAGGAATAATTAAGAAATTGAATAAAAAATTTAAAACTTACTCTCAAAAAAAAAAAAAAAAAAACCCACCATATTGCATATACCTGTATGCAAAGGGTATGATGAAACTACTCTAGAAGGTCCCACTGGGAGAAGAGGAAGAGCTGTGGGAGACAGATATGGTGGAATGAATAAATACTACAGTGGAAGCACTATATAGCATTGGAGGGGAAGAGTCTGGGGATAGATATGGAGCCAAGAAATAGGTGTTAAGAGTATGGGTGAGATACAGAGGGAAGGAAATGAGGTGGCACAGAGAATTCGGAGTGGCTGAGGGAGACTGGGAAGTGAGTGGAGCGCTTTGGAACAACTAAGGGAGATGAACTTGTCCATCAGTTTGTTGTACTGTGGTGGTTGCTAAGACAGACTCAGAAGAAGGAAGAGGCATCCACCTCTCAAAGAATTGGCCTGTGAAACCCTTATGAATAGGAGTGAAATACCATTTGATAAACTCCTGGAGAACTTTATGAATAGCTCTGAAACACTGTCCGATATAGTGTCAGAAAATGAGCCCCTCAGGTCAGAAGATACTCAAAATACAACAGGGGAAGAGCTGCCTCCTCAGAGTAGAGCCAGCCTTAATGACATGGATAGAGCACAGCTTTCAGGACCTCCATTTGCTGATGCGGTACAACTCAAGATGAGAAGAAACAACTGCAAACAGCCAGTGGTAATCGCAACATGGAATGTACAAAGTATGAATCTAGGAACATTGGAAGTTGTCAAAAATGAAATGGAATGCATGAAGATCGATATCTTAGGCATTAATGAGTTGAAATGGACTGGTTTTAGCCATTTTGAAGCAGACAATCTATGATCTACTATGCCACGAATGACAAATTAAAGAGGAACGGCTTGCCATTCATCATCACAAAGAATGTACCAAGATTTATCCTCAAGTATAATGCTGTCAGTGATAGGATAATATCCATACACCTACAAGGAAGAACAGTTAATACTGCTATTATTGTTGTTACGTGCTGTTGAGTCGGACCCAACTCATAGCGACCCCTCCTTAGGTTTCCAACGCGGTATCACTACGGAAGTAGATTGCCCAACCTTCCTTCCGAGGAGTGGCTGGTGGGTTTGAACTGCCAGCCTTCTGGTTAGCAGTCAAGTGCCTTAGGCACTATTCTACCTGAGCTCCTAAGTTAATACTAGTATCACTCAAATTTACACACCAACCACAAAAGCCAAGGATGAGGAAATTGAAGATTTTTACCAACTTTTGCAGTCTGAAATTGATTGAACATGCAATCAAGATGTGTTATCACTGGTGATTGGAATGCAAAAGTTGAAAGCAAAGAAGAATCACCAGTAGTTGGAAAATATGGTCTTGGTGATAAAAATAATGCTGGAGGTTACATGACAGAATTTTGCGAGACCAAAGACTTATTCATTGCAAATACCTTTTTTCAACAACACAAACAGCAGCTATACACATGGACTTCACCAGATGGGGTACATGGGAATCAGAGTGATGACATCCGTGGCAAAAGGCGATGGACAAGCTCAGTATCTTCAGCCAAAACAAGGCCAGGAGCTGTCTGTGGAACAGACCATCCACTGCTCATATACAAGTTCAAGCTAAAGTTGAAGACAATTAAAACAAGTCCACAAGAGCCAAAATAGGACCTTGATTACATCCCTCCTGAATTTAGAGACAATCTAAAGAACAGATCTGATGCATTGAATACCAATGACCAAAAACCAGAGGCATTGTGGCATGACATAAAGAACATTACCCATGAAGAACACAAAAGGTCATTAAAAAGACAAGAAAGGAAGAAAAGACCAAAATGGATGTCAGAAGGGACTCTGAAACTTGCCCTTGAACGGAAAGTAGCTAAAGCAAATGGAAGAAATGACAAGATAAAAGAGCTGAACAAAAGATTTCAAAGAGCTGATTGAGAAGACAAAGTCAATTATTACAATGAAATGTGATAAGTTAGAATACCAAAAGGGAAGAACAGGCTAGGCGTTTCTCAAGCTGAAAGAACTAAAGAGGAAATTTAAGACTCAAGTTGCAGTATTAAAAGATTCTATGGGCAATATATTGAATGATGCAGGAAACATCAAAAGAAGATAGAAAGAACATACAGAGTCACTGTACCAAAAAGAACTGGTCAACGTTCATCTGTTTTAGAAGGCAGCATATGTTCAAGAACCAATGTACTGAAGGAAAAAGTAGAAGCTGCACCAAAGGAATTGGCGAAAAACAAGGCTCTATGAATTGATGGGATACCCATTGACATGTTTCACAAATGGATGCCATGCTGGAGGCACTCACTCAGCTGTGCCAAGACATTTGGAAGACAGCTACCTGGCCAACTAACTGGAAGAGATTCATATCTGCACCCATTCCAAAGAAAGGTGATCCCACAAAATGGGGAAATTATCGAATAATATGTGATATTAATCACATGCAAGTAAAATTTTACTGAAGATAATTCAAAGAAGGTTGCAGCAGTATACTGACAGAACTACCAGAAATGCAAGCTTGATTCAGAGGAGGACGTGGAACAAGGAATATCATTGCTGATGTCAGATGGATCTTGGCTCAAAGCAAAGAATACCAGAAAGATGTTTACTTGTGTTTCACTGACTATGCAAAAGCATTTGATTGTGAGGATTGTAGAAAATTATGCATAACACTGAGAAGAATGGGAATTCCAGAACACTTAATTGTACTCATGAGGAGCCTGTACATAGACCAGGAGGCTGTCATTCGAACAAAACAAGGGGATATGGCATGGTTTAAAATCAGGAAGGGAGTGTGTCCGGGCTGTATCCTTTCACCATACTTAGTCAATCTGTATGCTGAGCAAATAATCCGAGAAGTGAGACTATATGAAGAAGAACGTGGTATCAGGATTGGAAGGAGACTCATTAAAAACATGCGATACGCAGATGACCCAATGTTGCTTGCTGAAAGTGAGGATGACTTGAAGCACTTACTGATGAATATTGAAGACTATAGTCTGCAGTTTGGATTACACTTCAACATAAAGAAATAAAAAATCCTCACAACTGGACCAATTAGCAGCATCACAATAAATGGAGAAAAGACTGAAGTTGTCAAAGACTTCATATTACTTAGTTCTACAATCAATACCAATGAAAGCAGCAGTCAAGACATCAGACGACGTACTGCACTGGGCAAATCTCCTGCTAAAGATCTCTTTTGAGTGCTAAAGAACAGAGATGTCTCCTTGAAGACTAAGGTGCACCTAACCCAAACCATGTTATTTTTAATCACCTAATATGCATGTGAGACAATGAATAAGGAAGACCGAAGAAGAACTGATGCTTTTACCTAACAAACCTGTCCTGGAAGAAGTGCAGCCAGAATGCTCCTTGGAAGAGAAAACAGCCAAACTTCATCTCACCTACTTCAGTCATGTTGTCAAAAGGGACCATTCTCTGGAGAAGGATATCATGCTCGGTAAAGTGGAGGATCAACGAAAAAGGGGAAGGCCCTCAACAAGGTAGACTGACACAGTGGCTGCAACGATGGGATCAGGTATAGCAAGCGTTGTGAGGCTGGCACAGACCGGGCAGTATTTTATTCTGCTATCAGTCAGAGGAGCCTCAATGGCACCTAACAACAACAACATAGAGGGAAGATCACTTCTGAGTTGACCCTTAAAGAATGAATAAACATTCAAAAGAAGCAGAGGAAGAAGAGCATTACTAGCCAGGTAAACAGCATGTGGTGCATCTGGGTAATTTTAAGTTTCAGTATTAACATTCAATGACAACTTCCTTGTGAAGACACTCAAGAACAAGTAAACTAAACAATTTGCCCAAAAGCACTGTTAGAAGCAATTAGCAGCATAACATTTCAGTATCCTGACTCCTGGTCCAGCTTTATTACACAGTCTCCCTTCAAAAATAATCATTAAAATACATTTTTCTGCACTCTTTGTTCTTCACTAAATTTCTAAACACATAGATCAAAAACACTGTTATTTATTTTAAAATTTAGGAAATTAAACCAACATAGGAAAAAGATGAAATATCATAATCTTCTCAAACATGAAGATTTTAAAGGGCTTGGTGTACTCCCAAAAGGGATCCTAAACACTCTATCTTCTTTTTATAGCTCTATTCATTATTCTTTTCTTGCTTTCTTTTCAAATTTTCTCAGAAAGAATCCACGTAACATTTACTTCCTGATTACAGTCATGTATGAGAAAACCCAACGAAAACATTACCAAACTTAATCCAGGACCCCCAGGCTTTTCCATACACAACAGTGAAGCATCACAAAGGTTTCAGGTCACACTCACTTGGAATAGTTTTCTATGGCCTCATCTTTCTTCACTTCTGTCTCACCCTCTGTTTTTGTGCCTTTGTTTGTTTCATCCAGCCAATCTGAGACATGTTTAAGAGCACATTCAACAGTAGACACCATATTCTGAACAGCTTCAAGTTCCTCTGGAGATGGGTAAATTGTTGAATGTTTCACCATAACATGGCGATCATCATTGGCAAAAGATCGAATAGATCTCTGTCAGAAGGAAAAAGTGTTACTTCAACAAAATAAATGTCACCAAAAAAGGATTATGGTTAAATATATTTAAGTCTGTTCATAGCATTAATTGTCCAAAGATTGTGCAATAGTTCATATGGAAGCAACTAAAAAATTGCTCAGGAATGGAAAATAAAAGTCTAATGAACTCCAAACCAGAATTAGAGATCATTCATTCATGTTTTGGTCAAAGTTCCCCCAGGTTACACTCAGCATTGCATATATGCTATATTTTAGCTGCACTCATGCATTCTGAATACCACTTCAAAAAGGGTTATCTATGTCACACATCATCTGTGAGAAACAAGACACTTCCTAGCTTCAAGATAATTCTAGAAATGTATGGTGGTGACTCATGATACCCAAACTGCTAGAGACTTTTCTATCTTGAAAAACTAAAATTTCATAATACAGTAATAATATAAAACACAACGTTAAATTTAAACACTACAGAAAAATATGCATTACACATTAGAATACTGTTATTTAGCATTAGAACCTTTGGTGCAAGGTTTTATTTTTAAAATAGATTAGTGAGAGGAATTCCAAATTCCAAGATGGGGAAAATAAATAGTGCAAAAATATCAACTTCCCAAGTTACAGATTTATTCCATTCTCAAAATCCCTTCAGGATTCACTTACCTACTTAAAACTCATTAACAATAATTTGAAAAGCTCATTTGGGGAGGGGATAGAAATGAAAATATCAAAATATACTCAACAAAGAGGGACTAGCAGTGAAACAAAATATTAAAACAAAACAAAACAAAAGCAATAATTAAATTGACATGCCAGTGCAGAATGCATGGAGCAAGCAAGAGCCCAGAAATACAATGAATTTCATGAGAATTTAATTGAGTATTTCCTTTACCATCTTAAGCCACACATCAAAAACACTGAAATAATTCCAAATTTACAAATACCATGAAGATGTTTATACCAGTATGCAGCAAAATAAATAAGGATAACTTGGTGAATTTTCCATAAAGCCTAAGTATTCAATATAAAGGATGGTTTACAGTGTCTTTAGTTACATGAAATTATGTACTAAATAGATGGTAAATATTTTGCTTTAAAGTTATTATTGAAAAATAAAACACTGGCAATCTTTTATCAGTCTTGCCCTTTTTGTTTTGTTTTTGTTTGAGTATCACTATGTAAAATCATATTAGTTTGGAAACCAGCAAACTAATGCTGCAATAACATTGTTCCCTATAAAAGTAAGCACACTGAAAAAGGATGCAGTCCTTTGAAATCCTCAAATCATTATACAAATACAGGACTAAAATCAGTAATAAAGCTCCCCACCCCCAATTCCACATAAAAAACATCTCTGTATCTTTCTTGCTCAACTTTCATTACCAATTTTCCAACTAGAACCTTCTACCACAAATAAACACACTTTCTAATCACTTCATAAGATCAAGGAACATGAAAAGAAGAGTCATATAAGTTGGAATGCTAAGTTTGTAGCTAGACGCATACACTAGCTAAGCTGTTCAGTCCAACACACTGGCCTCAACTTAGTAAAATTACATATTACCACATAACATGAACCTTTGGTTTTTCTCACAAAATAATACAGACTGCTAATGTTACATCCAAGAACATTAAATCTAAGAGCCTGTTGTATGTGACAGGTCAGGCATCATAAAACAAAGGTAAATGGAAGAACTGAATAAATGGTATTAGAAAAAAAAAATTGGACAGGATCCTAATTACCTATTAATAAGTGTCAATGGATTTTTTTAACTTAAATACTAAAATTAGAAGAACTATGCAGAAACATAATTTAATTCTCACACAAATTGGAGATCTAAGATTTAAAGGATTACAAGCATTGGAAAAATTCAACCATTATATAAAAATACATAATTTCTACATCAGAAAATCTGAAGAATAGACTAAGGTAGGAATTTTCATCAACTATGACAAATAATAAGGAATCCTGGTGGTATAGTGGTTAAGTGCTTGGCTGTGAACCAAAAGGCTGGCAATTCTAACCCACCAGATCCTCTGTAGGAGAAAGGTATGGCAATCTCCATAAAAATTTACAGCCTTGGAAATCCTATGGGGCACAGTAAGTTAGAATCAACTCAATGGCAGTGTTTTGTTTTGTTTTTTTTAATGCAAATAATATATATAAAACATTAAATTAAAACATATCAAGAGTATAACAGATAAATGAGTTGAAGGGGTAAATAATTCACATGGGAAGAAATAAAAGTAAGAGTGGGGTTGTTTCATATCTTACCATAAACACAATGACAGATAAAATCCCAAATTAACATTTCTTTCCCACCATTCAGTACTAAAATATAGTTAAATTTCTTTCGTAAAGAGCAAGTGAACTAGTTATTTATTAATCCTTATCACAATTTTTTAAATCAAGTATCATTTCAAGAAACACCATCAGGCTTTCTAAACAACATATTCTAAACATACCGATGACTAATCTTTTTGTGTTTTTCTCCCACTTATATATCTTTTATAAATCTTTTCTCACTTATACTTAGGAGAAAAACTCACACAATATTCTCCAGAACCAAAGTACTGAAGGAAAAAAATCTGCACATTTTACTAATTAAAATGCTAGGCACCAGAGGTTATAAGACTCATCTAACATCACAAATGCAATTCAAGTCTGAACTCTCTCCACAAAAATCAAGGTTTTCTTGATGTTCATTTCAGTGCTCCTGATACACCGAACACCCAACCTTATTATTTTAAAGCCATCTGAAAAATATGACTTGCTTTAACACTCCCACATTTTATAAATTCCTATAACATTCATATCACTGATTACAGTATTGGTTCAAGATTTTTAATTTTTAAGGGTAAAAACTGAACTTCAGGTAGAAGACTAGAGGAAAAACTACCTAATTTTGAACTCAAGGTCACCTAGCAATTTGTATTGGTCTGATAATGTCAGTTTTATTAGAAAATATTATTCATGCGCATTCCCTCCTTTGTTTTTAATACTTTATAGCCTACAGGCTCATGGGGCTCCATCTTGTGGTTTAAAGGGCTCATAATAAATCTGAACTCATTTCCTTTGCTTACATAAAGTGCCTTCTTTATCTAATGCACTAGAGCCAAAAATTAACACCACTGTTCTTGCACTTACTCTCACTGTTAACACTTTTAAGTTTAGACTCCTGAAATCTTTTATAACTAAATTAAGGAAATATAAATAAATAACCTACCATGATTTTCTACAGTATTTTAGCTTCTTTTTCCGATCCTTTCCTCTCTTTCTTGTCGTCTTCACCAGACACTGTTTTGTGTGACAGAACCTCCTCATAAGCCTGAATCCCCTGACAGCTCAGAGTCAATATGGCGAAGATGCTGGAGATTTGTTGTCTGGAACACAACTGCAAGAAAGAAGAAAAACAACCTTTGAAAAGGCTAATTTACGATTAGCTTCAAATCTAAGTGTGGAGCCCAAAGCGTGTTGTTGATTAAAAAGAAACAAACTTTACAGAAGAAAAGTATCTCATTTCAAACAAAAAGCTAATAATCCTTTGAAGTACTGGGCCAAAAAAAAAAAAAACACCAAACTCACTGCTGTCGAGTTGGATCTGACTCACTGCGACCCCTCCTTGGGTTTCTGGGGCGTTATCACTACAAAAGTAGATCACCAAACCTTCCTTCTGAGGAGTGGCTGGTGGATTTGAACTGCCAGCCTTCTGGTTAGCTAGCAGTCAAGTACCTTAGGCACTATGCACCAGAGCTCCTTTAAGATCCTAGGTCAAGTTAAGCTGAGATGGTATGACCAGAAAAGTAATCTTCCTGGTAGCCAAAATGTAGCAGTTGGCTGATTTGCATTCATTGAGATAAATACATTAATTAGCAGACACAGATTCAGTCAACATATAATATACAGGAAATGTAAAATTACGATTCATGGCAACAATGTTGCATTTAACCACAAGGTATCCAATTAGAAGTTGGCATCAGTCAGACCTATCTAACAATGCAGGAAATAAGAAACCTGAAAATATAAAAGTACACTGGTTGGAACCATGATACTATGATCAGATCACTTTTCCATTTGATATTGCCATTAGATAGTCTATGCTGGCATGTTTGCTCTTTAACCATTTTAGGCCCAAAATTCAGAACTTTTTTTTACTTTGTTCCTCTAAACTCCCTGAGAGACTCTGCTCTCCCTTCATCCTATACGTAAATTATGCCAGACTCAGGAATATTCACTAACCCTGACTACATTACTCTTTGATATCCCTCACCAGAATCACAGTATATTTCTAACCAGAAATCAATTAGCCATTCTGTTACCTTTGTTCCATCTTTATATTTTATTCCACATAGGATAAAAGTAAGCTAAGCTCTTCTGAGCATTGATGAAATCCTTATAAATAATAAACTTGTTGTTGTTGTTATGTGCTGTCGAGTTGGACCCAACTCATAGCGACCCCTCCTTGGGTTGCCAAGGCGGTATCACTATGGAAGTAGATTGCCCAATCTTCCTTCCGAAGAGTGTCTAATGGGTTTGAACCGCCAGCCTTCTGGTTAGCAGTCAAGTGCCTTAGGCACTATGCTACCAGAGCTCCTAAATAATAAACTTAAGCTATTTAAATATATATATATATATATACACACACACACACACATACATATACATATGAAGCACAACAAATGCCTTAAGTACAAGGATATCAGATACTAATTTATAGCATACATCATAAAAACTCACAAATAAAATAGATTCCTCTTCATGTTAGTACCTTTCCATTAAATTGATGGGGGAACCCCTTAGACTATTATCAGTAACAGTTTCCTAATCTATCAGTTAGTTGCTCTCTTAAAAAAAGAAAAGTGCATTTTTACCCAAAGTACAATTTAAAAAAAAAGAAAAGGAAAGAAAGAAAAATTCCTTGTGATTTTTTAGCACTGGTTAAGTCACAGGTGTGAAATACAACCTTCCTCAGACCATCAAATAAAAACAGAGACCCACAAATTATAGTTATCAGGAAGGCCAAGTTCCTAGAAAAGGACACCATGCTTGGTAAAGTAGAGGGTCAGTGGAAAAAAAGGGTAGACCAGCAACGAAAGGGACTGACATAGTGGCTGATAACAATGGGCTCAAACACAGCAACAACTGGCAGGTCCAGGCAGTGTTGTGTTCTGTTTTACACAGGGTCACTATGAGTCAGAATCGACTGCAAGGCACCTAACAACAACTATAGTTAAACAATACTCAGCTGTGACCTACAGGCAAAACATCACAATCTGTAACCAATTTCTCTAACTCAGTCTGCAAAAACCAGTTGAAATAAGATACTAAAGCTAGATTTAAAAAAAAATAAATTAAGGAAGTAAAGATTATGTAGTTGAATGGCTTCTAATAAATGCAGCTGCTTTGGTTATTATGCATATCATATTAATTTAAGATGGAATGCACAAGTGCTGCAATTCCTCGCGTCTTCTGTACAACTGTATCAATCCGATTGAGAAGAAGTTAGATTATGCTATTCCTATCTAGATAGGAGCTCTGGTAGCATAGTGCCTAAGACACTTGACTGCTAACCAGAAGGCTGGCGGTTCAAACCCACCAGCCACTCCTCGGAAAGAAGACTGAGCAATCTACTTCCATAGAGATACCACTTCAGAAATCAAAGGAGGTGTCACTATCAGTCAGGATGACTTAACAGCGGTGAGTTTGGATTTTTTTTTTTTTTTTTTTTGGTGGCATAGTGGGTAAGGCATTTGCCTGATAATCAGAAGGTCTATGGTTCAAACCCACCAGCTTCTCTAGGGGGAGGAAGATGGGGCAATCTACTTCCATAAAGATTTAAAGCATTGTATATGGGGAAGCATTCATATCATGTAGATACACTTCTGAGAACAGAAGAGCAATGCTTTCACAGGGAGAGGAGAGCTCAGAGAGTGGGAGTGCATGGGAGGGAAGGACAGAGGAAACAGCTATCTATGGGGAGGAAGTGGAAGAGAGCTGTTACACTGTGGGGAACTGCAGTCAATGTTATAGAACAAAATGTGTATGAACTGCTGTATGGAAAATGAATCGGCTCAGTAAACTATCACACAAATCACAATAAAATTAAAAAAAAAAAAATGATTTACAGACTTGGAAACCCGATAGGAGTTGCTACGAATCTAAATAGACTCGATGACAGTGAGTTTGGGTTTTTTTGTTTTGTTTTTGTTTGTTGTTGTTGTTGTTGTTGTTAAGTGCCGTCGAGTTGTTTCCGACTCATAGC